TTTTCTGTTTTTTGATCAAATAAATGCAGCCTTGATGAGCATAAGAAACTTCTTTAAAAAAAATTAATCCTTAACATCCCAAACTTTTGATTTGCACTGTATGTTGCTTTGTTTTTGTGCAAGAACAATGAAACGCGTTGTGTTTGTCACAGAACATGTTTGTCTATGCGTGGTTGCAGTTTATGTAATAAACCTGCCTTCTCAGTGATGTCGAGTAATTGAATGGCTCCACAGCACGGGTGACCTTGCTCTGAGAGCACCACCATGGGGGGGTCCAGCTGAAGATGAGTCATCTCACTGGCGACGGCAGGTGTCCCATTAACCCCCTGGCCCTCTCTCCTCCTCCTGAGTGTCAGCACTGGAGCGGTGTGGCTCATACAAACCTGCAGCGGGCCCTGCGTCCTCCCCCTACTACTGCCAATTAGCCCCTCTCTCTCTGCCCGTTCCTCTCAAAGTCTACACGCGCCTCGGCCCACCCTGCTGGCCTGTGTATCTTCAGCGTGTCCTGCATCCTATAGCAGCTCTGCCTTTTATGATTTATAAAGGTCAGCCATCGAAAGGAAGCCTGTCATCCCTCCCCCTAAACTGAGTGTTCTTCCTGCCCTCGTGGCTTTTTTTTTTCCCCTCCTATCCATTTTTTTCTTTCTTCCTTTTGTACGTGCCTTCTTTTTTTTTCTCCTTATTTCTGGCTGTGTTTGCTGAGCAGTGACAGTATGAAACCCAAAGCCACAGAGCGGTGCGGCTGCAGGTGCTTGAGGAGTGTTGGAGAGAGAGACTCTGACTGAGGCAAGCAGATGGCTTTAGCCAGTGGCGTCCAGCCAGAGGAACAGGTGTCTCATAGCGCAAACTAACATGACTTTTTCAATGCGCATGGTGGAATTTATTCGGTAGATGTGTTTCTATCGTAGTTTGTGCTTTTTTTCTTATCGGATAAAAAGTTTATCCTACTCTATGCACATCTTGGCATTTCCATCCAGCGTTTTTTTATGCGATAATCCAAAATGTGCATAAAAATAGGTGGATGGAAACGTAGCTATTGCAACAACAGTGTCCTGTGGTGTGTTATTATACACCTAAAATGACAGTTCATGAGACTCAAAAGACAATTCTTGTACAATTATACATGTTTTATGGCATATCGTTTGATTGCAGAACTTTTATTAAAGCATTTAATTGTTCTGTTGACTTTTTAAGCGAACTGTTAAAGCTAACAGGAGATTTCGCAAAACCTGTCGGCGAGTGAAAAATCGGGCTAAAATCGTGCAGTGTGAACTCGGCATTATGCATTCATATAAATTATAACACATTCACCGGAGGAAGAGGAAGATGATGGTGTTCAGGTAAGCGTTGCTGAAGTTTTTACTTGGCATTTATCTAATAAAGTTATTGTTCAAAGAACTTTTCTGGTGGTCGACTAATATGGTTTTTTCAGTGGTTAAAACCAATACCTAAAGATTGACAAGATAATACTGAAAAAATGTCATCTTTATCATCTCATCAATACAAGTGATGGCAAATGAGATGTGATTTGATTTGTACTCGTACCAAAAATGTTACAACCAGTTATTTGTATACGTTAGGGTTGGGCGATTTTTTCCGATTTTATCTATGAATTTGAATTTAATGTTTTGCCACGATTTTATTTTTTAGAAATCGAGGAATCACGATTTTGAATAGAAATTTTACCAAACGTTCTAGTTAAAAATCGTAAATATCGAATCAGTCAAACATTCTGAAAAAAATCGAGATTTAATTTTTTTGCCATATTGCCCAGCCCTAGTATACGTTTTTCTTTTATATTCTTTTTTTTTTTTTTTTTTTGGCCATTGTGTAACGTTTTGTGTGTGTATGTTGACTGCAGAAGAGGCGATCTAGTCGGCAGGTGAAGAGGAAACGCTACACTGAGGACCTGGAGTTTAGAATTTCTGATGACGACGATGGAGAGGATTCTCCTGGACCAAAGTCTCCTTCAACCACATCTGAGCAGCAGGTCATTATCTTGAACATTTGGATGTGTTGTGTGTGTGTGTGTTAAGTTTGTTTATGCTGATGGCTGATTAACAATCCCCACAGAGTTAGAAAACTACTGATGTAACCTGCTGTTTGTTATGCATGATGGATGTTCTCACACTGACTCAGTGTCCTTCATTCCTACGTGTGCCGTAGGAGCTGCTGGATGCGGAGGGCCCTGTGGTGGAGAAGATCATGGGGATGCGTATGGGAAAGAAAGAGGTGAGCTGAGCCATCGAAAGCCTCTCACATGAGCTTTAGCCGCTGCTGTCTACTGGATCAGGGCAGATTACACCTAACAGCTGTCTCAAATCCTGCCCCAGACCCCGGGCTGATATTGTCTTCGGCCCGACAGCAGTAGTATTAATCGAGTGAAGGCCATGGCCGGTTCAGAGCAAAGCCGGTGCAAGGTCTTGAGATGAAGCCATGTAAGAATAAACTGTCTCTCAGCGTGATTAATCTCAGGCCCTTAGACGCAGGCAGTGGCAGTGTGCAACGTTACTCCTTTGAAACAGCACCACAAAACAAAGCCTGGCCAAAAATAATAAGCCGTGCGTGGCTCTTAGTAGCGCAGCTGCAAATGGGCTCCCGCCCGAGGAAATGGTAGGTTTGGCGTCTGCCGTAGCGCTGTGGTTTTGGCAGGAAGCCAGGCCCCAGGTCAGCTCCCTGTGAATGGGTCTGTGTGTGGTAGAGGAGCTGAAGTGATTCATGACTCAGCCACACAGCGTACTACTAGCTGGAGAAAGAGAATAGGAGGAGGAGGGAGGATTGCTTTTATTTTATATATATATTTTTTAGTTTTTATCCACTCCCAGTGTCTGTTTGTCCTGGGGCATTACAGTTGAGAGCAATGCCAAAAAGCAGTGTTGTTTGTCACAGGAAGTGGGTTACACTTGTGATGGATGAAAGTTATGCACACTAGTGATTTGACAGCTCCAAACATGTTACAAACACACTTTTTGATCACCAAATAATGTTCCTGCTCTTTATTTTACAGTTGGCGTCTGGTGAAGAGGTTGAAGTTGAGGAGTTTTATGTAAAATTCAAAGGCTTGTGAGTATCTGTTATAGCATGCCTTCCATCTAGTGTCACTTATTTATATAATGAAGAAAACTGTAGAATTATCAGATTTAAAGAGTTAAACATTTAATGGAATTTTTTGCATTAAGTAGTGCAAACAAGCTACTACATGGACACCATCAGACTTTCTCAGTGCATAAAACTATGCAGATGAATCATGGCCTCTAAATACACCTGTTAATTAAGAACAAGATTCCTTATTGTGCTCCCACACAAACATCCTCAGTCTTGTTTATCTGACATGCTAATTTCTGGACTATAGTTTTGCTGAGGTCATCCGGGAAATAACTTTTTATTGTTTGTTTTTTACAGCTCTTACCTGCACTGTCGCTGGGCAGACATCGAAGAGCTGGAGAAGGATAAGAGAATCCAGCAGAAGGTCAAGAGGTTTAAGGCTAAGCAGGCCCTCAGTAACTTCCTAACTGAGGTTAGCATCAGCCCTCCATTTTCCTTGTGATCCACCATTTTGTCCTTTTTTCCCCGTTCCGTTTTCCCCCCTCTCATTTTATGGCCCTCACTGATAATGGTGGCAGTATGTATATGCTCAAGTGTGTTGTGCTGGTATGGTGGATTTTTGAACAATATCATCCATGCTAAGGCAATAAAATGACTCACTTCAGGCTCTTATCTCTGTTGTATGCAATCTCTCGGCACATGCTGCCTGGTTCAGTTCACAAGTTAAAGTAATTCAAGCTGTTGCGTTGAAATGTGTGTCAAGACTTTCATTTCTGGTTTGCAACTCCACACTATATTCGAAAGAGCTTTTCAGTCAAAACCCAGTGGGGTTTTCCCAGAGAGATTTATGCCACCCACATCAGAAAGATCTGAAAATATTCTACCTAGTAGATTCTCATGTAGAGACTCGTAGTAGTTGGGGCTCAAGCAGCAATGAAGCCACCATTCTGCAATGCTCCATCTAACCAATCAATCACAATCTTATTGACAGATGGATGATGAGCCATTCAACCCAGATTATGTGGAGGTGGACAGGGTTCTGGATGTGTCTAAAAGCACCGATGAAAATGGAGAGGTATGACTTCTCTCTCTCATCCATCCACTTCAATCGTTCTCAGCATCTGTCTCTCAAAACAACATGGGTTACCTTTGATTAAAGCTCTTAGTAGATATTTTGCAGCTGTGAAGATGTCAGTCAGACCGCCCCCAGAAATTTTAGAAGAATGTTAGAACCCTCTTTTGGATAACATTGTTTTGACGTGTGTTCCTGCAGCCTGTAACGCTGTACCTGGTGAAGTGGTGCTCCTTGCCCTATGAGGACAGCACGTGGGAGTTAAAAGCTGACATCGACCAAGGGAAGATTGAGGAGTTCGAGAGAGTGATGGAGCGTGAGCAGGAGCCGAAGCGCGTGGTAAGAGCTGGCACTTCTCTAGCCCTCTCTTTTTCACTTTGAAGTGCTGAGCAAGTGAGGGGAGAGGGCCTCGTTCTTGCGGTTGCACGGAAACCACTAACGGGAATTGTTTTATTTGAAACAGGAGCGACCTCCCGCCAGCGACTGGCAGAAATCCGAGAGTTCCAGAGAATATAAAAACGGCAATGCGCTCAGGGAATACCAGCTGGAGGGAGTCAACTGGCTGCTCTTCAACTGGTACAACACGTATGTATGCAATTACCCAGCCGTCCAGCTGCACTGCTCACTCATACACGGACTGAAGTGCATTTTTGATACCATTTAAATGCAAGGATGTCATGAATTGCAGCCTCTGTATGAAAATTCATATTCTTACGGGTGCAATTGCACTTTTTGTTTCTGTTCTCAGACGAAACTGCATTTTAGCCGATGAAATGGGCCTTGGCAAAACAATTCAGTCCATCACATTCCTCCATGAGATATACCTGAAGGGAATCCACGGCCCTTTCCTGGTGATTGCACCTCTTTCCACCATTCCCAACTGGGAGAGGGAGTTCAGGACATGGACTGAGCTAAACGTAGTTGTCTATCACGGTAGCCAGGCCAGCCGAAAGACTATTCAGGCTTACGAGATGTACTACAGAGACACACCGGTACGTAATGCTACTTTTGTCATGTGATTGGCTCCAATAACTCCAAAGTTAAAAAATGCTTATGTTTCACAAGTTATCTGCAGGACAAACATAAGGTTATACATGACTCTATACATAGGGTTGTGTTCTCAAGGGCCCTTCATCGTAACCAAAAGCTGTCTTCATTCAGGGTCGTGTAATAAAGGGATCCTACAAATTCCATGCAATAATCACCACGTTTGAGATGATCCTGACGGACTGCCCCGAGCTTCGGAGTGTGCCGTGGCGCTGTGTGATCATTGATGAGGCTCATAGGCTCAAGAACAGGAATTGCAAGCTGCTTGAGGGCCTAAAGATGATGGACATGGTTAGTGCTTCCCCTTCCATCTAAGAAACATGATGTTGCTGAAAATAGCCTGCTATAAATGTCGCTCTAGCTTTAACCTTTACTAGATACAGGATGCGGGGTTCCCATGGTGCTGGAAAATCTGGAATTATCAGGGAATTGTATTATTTTCAAGCTTGGGCAATAACGTACATTTCAAATTAAGGTGTTTTTTTTTTTTTTTAGGTTTTTAGAAAATAAATTGTCAACTCAAATTGGTCTCATTGCCTTAATGAGTCAAATATGGATTTTTTAAAATCCTTATCCAGTGATCACTAATGATTGGATAAGTAATTGAAATTCCTTGTAAAAATGGTGGAAACAATTTTTATTAGATTTGTTTTTGTTAAAGAAAAGAACAGTCACTTAACTGTCACTCACATTTTTGAACATAGACGTGAAAGGGCACGATCCAAACTAAAATTTTTACAATTAATGAACGAAAAAATTTTGTAACATGATATTGATGTACCATTTTCATGGTAATGCAATGTCTGATTTTAAAGTGGGTTTCAAAGGATGAATTTAGAGATTTTAAGTTTTCAATTGATATATAATTTCTGGTGATTTCTAAAGTGTGATAGAGGAAAAAGGCAACGAAGAAGACTTTTTTTGACAGGTCAGAACTCCTGTTATGATGTAGATTTTTGAGGTGCACTCTTGTCATAAATTAATCTATTACCCATAAATTTGTCATAAATTAATCTATTACTTTTCCTACATAATTTTTAACAAAAAACATTGATAAAATATCTATTTAGGAGTCTTAGACCTTTCCAACGATATATAGTTTTTCATGATTAGATTAGGATTTAATTGTAATATAGTGAAGTAAACTTAGGCGTCCCACAGAGGGGACGGGTGACAGTTAAGAGGTTAATGAGACTCTAACTTTCTATAGGAACACAAAGTCCTGCTGACTGGAACCCCACTGCAAAACACAGTGGAGGAGCTCTTCAGTCTCCTTAATTTCCTGGAGCCTGACAGGTTTCCCTCTGAGTTGACCTTCATGCAGGAGTTTGGAGATCTTAAAACAGAAGAACAAGTATGGAATATCAGCATTGTTAAATCATCGCAATCATTATGAGATGCATTTTCAGAGATGGCTGGATGTTATCTAATGTCACTTTCTGGTTTCAGGTGCAAAAACTGCAGGGCATTCTGAAGCCTATGATGCTGCGCCGACTAAAGGAGGATGTGGAGAAAAATCTTGCACCGAAAGAGGAGACCATCATTGAAGTAGAGCTGACCAATGTGCAGAAGAAATACTACCGTGCCATCTTGGAGAAGAACTTTGCCTTCCTGTCCAAAAGTGGTGGAGGTGGAGGTGGAGGTGGAGGAGGATCCAATGGTCCCAACCTGCTGAACACCATGATGGAGCTGAGAAAGTGCTGTAATCACCCCTACCTCATCAATGGTGAGCAGTAGACTCTGATGTAAAACTGTGTGAACAGAAAACTTGTTTTATATGTTAAGTGTATGCTCAGAGGTTATTACTTTTTTTTTTTTTCCAGTCAGCCAGACTGAAATTTCACTCTTTTCTCTATCTGTAGGAGCCGAGGAGAAGATAATGGAGGAGTTCAGGGAGAGTCACCCCTTAGACCACCCAGAGTTCCACCTCCAGGCCATGATCCAGGCTGCAGGAAAACTGGTGCTGATAGACAAGCTGCTCCCCAAACTGAAGGCTGGGGGTCACCGTGTGCTCGTCTTTTCCCAGATGGTGCGCTGTCTGGACATCCTGGAGGACTACCTCATCCAGAGACGGTAGGATGCCTGAGCCCATAGCACTGCCAACAAATTGAGAGAGAAACCTTATAATGTGTTTTAATGTGCAATCTCATATGTTGGGTAGAAAATGAAAACATTAACAATATTGGGTTAACAGAAAATGCTTAATAAAATGGCATTACCTATTAGGTTTAGTTAATACTCCTTTTCCTGTTCTCAAGGTATCCATATGAGCGTATAGATGGCAGAGTTCGAGGAAATCTCCGCCAGGCAGCTATTGACCGCTTTTCACGACCAGACTCTGACCGTTTTGTGTTTCTGCTGTGCACCAGGGCTGGAGGCCTGGGTATTAACTTAACTGCAGCTGATACTTGCATTATATTTGACTCTGACTGGAACCCTCAGAATGACTTGCAGGTAATCATGGATGTTTCTTACCATATATGGTCCCTGTGTGTGGGGAAACTGCTGGATCTTCATTAGAAGCTATTTTATTTCACAAAGCATCTTTTAGCTGCATTCCAACTAGTAACTCAGCTGGAAGTACTCTGCTGCAACCTTAACAGTTTTCTAGGATGAGTGTGTGTATATGTGTGAGTCCTCAGAGGCACTGTGTGTGTGTGTGACCGTTTTGTGCTGTTGCCTTCAGGCACAAGCTCGTTGCCACAGGATAGGACAGAGCAAGGCTGTGAAGATTTACCGCCTGATCACCAGGAACTCCTACGAAAGAGAGATGTTTGACAAGGCCAGTCTGAAGTTAGGATTGGACAAGGCTGTGCTTCAGTCCATGAGCGGGAGGGAAAATGCTGCCAATGGGGTATGAACTGCAGACAGCACCACCATTTTGTGGTGTTTCACTCGAACAGTGTTCCAGATGGTTCATTAATCAAATATACTTTGCACATGTTGGCAGTCAGTGGAAAGACCTCTAATTCCAGTGCACTCTGCCTTATTTGCCTTTTTACCGTCTGCCTAAATTTGTCCGCTCCATAAACGGTCCAAGTTGAAAACAGTAAATTTATTGAGATCTGTATTATGTTCATTCATTCTCCCCCTTTTTTTAGGTTCAGCAGCTCTCTAAAAAGGAGATTGAGGACCTTCTAAGGAAAGGAGCGTATGGTGCTCTAATGGATGAGGAGGATGAGGGATCTAAGTTCTGTGAAGAAGACATCGATCAGATTTTGCAGAGACGTACACAGACCATTACAATTGAATCAGAAGGCAAAGGCTCAACATTTGCTAAGGTGATGACATTTAAAATCTTTGTATTTAGTATTGATGATATTAACAAAACAAATTGACCTTCCTATCAATGTAATTACCTTTATATAAGCATACTACCCATTTCATCTTGCTCTTAAAATAGTGCAACCTAAAGGGTAAGTGTCTCTGATCTCACTATTTATATAAATTTTTTCCCTACCAGGCAAGTTTTGTGGCCTCTGGGAACAGAAGCGACATTTCTCTGGAGGACCCAGATTTCTGGCAGAAATGGGCAAAGAAAGCAGAGCTGGACCTGGATGTGATCCATGGCAGGGTAAGCTGCAACTTAATGGTGAAAAGGAGCTCTCTTGTGCTGTGAAATGCTTCACAGGAGATGTTGCATGAAGTGAGGCACTAATCTGTAGCACCTCTCTCTTGTGTAATCGTGTGGAGCACTTACAGCTGACTATTATTCATTGTTTCATTAATGTCGGGGTCATGCATTAGCAGCTTTTGACAGGTGTCATATTCATAATTCTGTCTGACAATTGATAACTGAAGATAGTGTGAATCTAAATCTGGATGGTTTCCACCACACTCTGTGGTGTCACTCCTCATAAATATGCTATCTGGGCATAATTAATGAGGCTGATTTCCCCAGCCTAACAGTGCGTGGAATGTAGCCGTAATTGAGCAAAGGCAAAATTGTTTAAACTTGGCCATGGGAAGCATTTTCTGTAATTACCACTGTTCTTTGCACTCAGGAGAATTGGAAGCACTAAGCAGCTTATATCCGCTTGAAGGGAAACGCCATGTTATGTCTAAATAAAAATGCTCTATCACAGTATTTTCTGCATGTGTCCTTGAGCAGAGGTCTTCCATCTTGCTGTCTAGCAGCCACCTATGTCATGGTGCTACCATGGTATAGTACTAAAAGTGCTAAACATGCACAAACCTTTTCTGCCGTCTTAAACCCTTGAGAGAGCATTCTAACCCCAGATTGTATCTCTTGTCAGAATACTCTGGTGATTGACACTCCTCGGGTCCGGAAGCAGACTCGGCACTACAGTTCTATGAAGGAGGATGAATTGATGGAGTACTCAGAGCTTGAGAGTGACTCAGAGGACAAGCCCATTCAGAAACCGCGGAGGCCCCAGGACCGAACCCAGGGGTACCCCCGCAGTGAGTGCTTCAGAGTGGAGAAGAACCTGCTGGTGTATGGGTGAGTGCAGTCTGGAAATGTTCATATTAAAGTGTTATTGTTGTTGGTTTTAACAGCTTTGTACTCCCTTTTTAGTGGGCTGCTCTAGCCTGAAAATTGAAGATTGTGCTAAATCACCATCTTGCACTTGAGCAGTTCCTGGGGCCTATCCCTATAATTAGTTGCCATTTAGCAGATGCTTTTTTTTCCCCTCAAAAGCTGCTTTGAGTGCACCAACTATACATTACCCTACAGGGCAACAATGCGCCCCCATTGGGGGGGGGGGAATCCCCACACATTTCCCACATAGAAACATACAAGTTACAATTATTGCTGCCAACTAATTCTATGCATCAGACCTTTTCAGTCCATATTTGTTGAAAACATCAATAGATCTCTATTTCCCTCAATCATAGCTCACAATGGAAACCAGCTTTAGCAGGAAGTCCATCCCAGTGCCATGAGACAGGATATTCAGCTTCCTGCTTTGTTTTATCGCCATCCAAATTCCCCTTGTCTCGTCTTGTTTTCCATTTGGAATGAGAATATCTGGTAGCTCACAGCCCACCAGTGCAGTGGCCGAGTTTGTCACGCTTCCTTGTCTCGGGGCAGTGGCAGACATGGCGCTATATAATGCACAGAATTAATTAAGCGCCAGGCCTCAGTGCACTCGTCACTAATAATGGCTGGGTGCACGCACCATGTCTGACCAGTATTTTTAATTTTTTTTTTCAGTCAGACGTGTCTAGACCCCTGGGCTATACGGCAAATTAGATCCATCAAGTCTGAGGGATTTGTCTCTTCTGATGTTTTTTTTTGGAAAAGCAGTGTAGGGCTGTGAAATCAGAGCAGACCCACACCCCCCACCCCTTTTTTTTCCCAAAAAGCCCTTTAGGCCTGTGCTTAGAGAGCGCTTGAGTACTCCATCAAATAACAAGGGCATTGGGTCTCCTCATGGTCATGTACCATGCCAGCAATGCAGTGGTGCCACCCCTCCTCCTTCAGTTTGTGAGAAATGGCACAACCGTAGAGTAGAGACCTGCGCGGGACGGATTTTTCAGTCCCGCTCCTGCAAGATTCTGTACCGCGCCCGCCCGCTCCCGCAAAAATATATCTTATCTGGTCCCGCTCCCGCCCGTGACATTCATGTTTTGTCCCGCTCCCGCCCGCAAAAGCCCGCATAGAAGTAATCTATATAGATTGTTTTAAGTACATTGAAGAAATTTACATGAAATGGTTCTGTAACATCTCCTAAGCTCCACAACATCCCAGCATAAACATAACAAACTACTACCAATAAAATATTTGTTATTTAGACTAAGCATCAACATTCACAACCACTGTTATTTTTTACGGAAAACAAGCATGGGCTGCTGCGTGCATGGTTTGGCATGGCAGAATGCGAGCAGCACACTTCCTTTATTATCACAAAAAGCTGACATCTCAGTTAATCGTGATCTCATAAAGCTCTGTTATAACACTAAATATACTAAATATATGCACAATGAATCTTTCAGAGTGTCTAAAATGAGAGGATTCGTGAGCACGCAATTTCAGCACTGCGGTGAGTAGATTCTAACTTTCACAGTTTGCTATGGCAATGTTGTTGTCATCAACTTTATAATACCTCCAGACCGCAGACATACTCGCGCTTTCCGCTTCAAGCTGCTTCCGTGTTCTACTTTGCCGGCATTTAACCAATAGCGTCTCTGCAACAAACTGATGTCATGCCGCACGCGTTGCTGTTTCTGTGTGGAGTCAAAAGGGTCTAACTCTGTGCCACCGCATAACTATAGATGTGTTAAAAAATAATGAGAATATATATACATATATATCCGAGTCCTGATCGGGAGGTAACGTCCGATTCCGATCGAGCCTGAAACCACGTGATCGGGCCCAATTTCCGATCACGTGATCGGATCTGGACATCCCTAGTACAAATGCTCTTTTTGAATTAGTTTAAAGCTGCAGTCCGTAACTTTTTTTTGGTTAAAAATGATCCGAAATCAATATTTGAGCAAGTGCATAACCAGCCAGTGTTCAAAACTATCCCCTTACTTTATCCTGTTTCACAACGGTTATTTTATAATGTTTTCTAATTTGAGTGGTACGGGGAAATTCGAGCATGCTGCTGCGTCATTACGTCACATCTGTAAACATAAAGAAGTTGTCCCGGCATGTGAGGATCCTGCAGGCGGCAGATAGTTTATAGCCTTTTCTCACAGCAGCTGGAATAATTAAATGTATAATTTTGATGGCGGATTGTAATCCAGGAAGGATTATGTGTTTATGAAACACGTGAATGAAATTAAATTATATTCAAATTTTATGTGCTTCTGATTACAGATAGCCTGGGATTACACAAGATTTGTATTTTAAAGACAACCAGTTCGAAGGGAGCATAATTTGCTTTTTGGGTTAAAATAATTTCTTATGAAATTCAAGTGGTATGACAATTAGAGATTAGACTGTTCAGAAATTGAAATGTACTCTCTTATAAACACTATATTCACATAGTCACGTAATGCTGATGTTGTTAACATTAACAATTAGAGAATAAAGTATAACAATAATAATAATTTGCACGGTTTGATGTGATATGAGCTAATTTGGATTAAAGGGGTCATATGATGCTATTTTAAAGATCATTATTTTGTGTATTTGGTGTAACAGAATGTTGACATGCGTTAATGTTCAAAAAACACATTATTTTTCAAATACTGTACATTATTGTAGGTCCTCTATGCCCCGCCTCTCTCAAACGCGTCGTTTTCAACAAAGCCCCCTCTTTGACAAGCGCAGTATGCTCTAATTGATTGGCCGAACACCACAAGCACACGTCGGAAATGTAACGCCCCTTACTATAATCGCGAGCTTCAGCTTTCAAAGTAAATATCAATAATCAGTTAATAATGTCGTTAGTTTTACCATCAGTTCAAGCCCGAAAGGGCAACAGAGTAGACCCCTTTAAATCACCATTGGTAGCGCAATTTATTGTAATGCTTTTTACCTCAGTTGGTCAGAACAAACGTGGCAGACTTGCTACTTGTTCAGATGACAATATCTGGTGAAAATTCTTATTTGGGTCATATTCCAAGACGTAGGCTAGAATCTGTGATTGAAGTAGAGTAAATGACTGCCACACACTCCTCAAAACATTAGATTCGTCCACACTGGAGCCGCGCCGGCGCACAACCCACGTAAGGAAGATAATTCCGCTAACAGCTGCAATTGCAGGTTTTCAAACAAAGATGGCGACAAAGAGGCAAAACTTGCGGACTGCAGCTGTAACTAGTCTTGTCAGTGACACCTTTTTTTTCCATGCTTTTTTTCCCCCATGCATTACAAAACCAAACAACTGCAGAATTTTTGAAATAACTGAAAGGACACAAACTGAAGTTTTCACATGCTATATTTGCTCTGGCTAACTTGTCTTCTGTTGTGCATAGCTGGGGCCGCTGGGGTGACATCCTGTCCCATGGACGCTTTAAGCGCCCACTGAGGGAGCGAGACGTAGAGACCATCTGCCGCGCACTCCTGGCCTACTGCCTGCTCCACTACCGTGGAGACGAGAACATCAAGAGCTTCATTTGGGACCTCATAACCCCTACCGAGGATGGCCAGAGCCGCACACTGACCAACCACTCTGGTAGGATGCTGATCTGGAACCAATCTGAAAATGGCATAATTTCTTTCCTTTGTCAGCATCTGCCTCTTCACATGCTAAACAAAGGCATTTCTGTGGTTTTTAGGACTGTCTGCTCCAGTGCCCCGGGGGCGTAAAGGGAAGAAGGGGAAGCCGCAGGCTGCTCAAACTCACATGCCACAGGCTGACTGGCTTGCTGACTGTAATCCTGACATCCTCCTTCAAGAGGACAGTTACAAGAGACACCTGAAACACCACTGCAACAAGTATGTACCATTTCACAAACTGCCCTTTCCCACCTTAAGGACACTTATGTATTCGTTAATGTATCATCTTATTTTTGTCCCTTGTTTTCCACTGCTTTGAATATTTCATTAGCAATATGTTGCACATCAGACATTGGTGCATTAGTATAATCTAGATCTATTCAGATTTGTACCTGACATATGAATGGAAATCATTCCGCCAATTTTTGTATAATGATAAAAAAAATCCTTATCAAATGATTAGAAAGCTTGTGGAAATTCTCTGGTCAAAAAGTGAAGAGCCCAGATTTAAAATTCCACACAGCCAGCTCAGTTCTTCTGCCGTCTTGTTTGAAAGTAACCTTTTGCCTTCAAAGCCTGATATCCTCAGAAGCAGGTGCATTTGAAAACTTGTGAAGAGCTTTTCAAGTTGAAAAAGTAGTTGAAGCAAACTTGCGAGTTTAGCTGAACATGTCCAAAAGCGAGTTAGCGCTGTTACCTTGTGGTGCAGATGTTTCATTAAGTTGCTTGGCTCCTCTGTAGTTTAGCTTTGACTAATGAATGACAGTTAAAAATGGCCAACTGTAGAGAATCTGGCAAAAGAAAGAGTCCCATCTTTCTGGCAAAGGCTTCTGCCAAGTTCCTGAAATAATGAATGACAGGCCATGAGGAATCTTTTTCATCTCTGAAATTAAAGATTTTAAGATCACTCAATAATTCATCATTCGGCTCGTCAGGCCGCACATGATGCTTTCGCCTCTCGCCCCACACGTCCATTATGCTTCGCATGCTGCCGGCTTGCGTCTTTTGTTTTTCGAGGCCTCTCCGGTTTCATTTGATAAATAATTTCTGTTGCCAGGCCAGCATTGTTGTGTCCTGCCTTACGCTAGGCAGTGACAGAGAGAGAGAGAAAGCAAAACACTGTTTACACTGCTGGCTCTGATGTGCATCCAGAAAAGGGGAACAGAGCAACAGCTGAGGAAACGTTATGAGACGATAAATTCGAGGTGCTTAGACCGCCAACCATCTGCTCGCCGCACTGCAAACTTCTGCCTCTGTACTTTGGAGGCGTCCCGTTAGCACCTCCCTAACTTCCCTAACAGCATTAGGAAGGAAATGAAAACGAGAGGATGAAGGTGTTGGAGTGCATACGCGTGGAGGAGGGGGGCGAGGGTGGGTACGGGCGGCTCCCCAAGCACAGCGGCGCAGTGCCAGGCCAGGTGCCAGGCAGACCTGTTGGAAGCGGGTGAAAGGCGGCACACACAGAGGTGATTATGTGCAGCCATCTGTCAGGCGTGGAGGCTGCCGCACAGCGTTGCTAATCAGCCCTGGCAGCATGATGGATGAGCCATGGCACATGCCAAAGAGCTGCTGCTGCCGCTGCTACTGCTGCTGGCACAGCTCGGAGCTGGCCAAACTTGCTCACTCTTTTGTTTTCTGCCTTCTCCCCTTACCTTTGTGCCTTTTTCCTTCATTTCATTCTGTGTGTCACTCCATTAACCCCAACTCATCTTTGTTTTTGTTTTTTGTCTCTCCTGCTCTTTCTATCTCTGACAGAGTGCTGCTGCGGGTCCGCATGCTCTACTATCTGCGACAAGAAGTCATCGGAGACCATGCAGACAGAATCCTGGAGGGAACCGATTCAAGGTTGGCATCTCTCTCCATTCCCTTCTACCGAATCCTGCCTGCTGTTATCTTTCCTCTCCCTCCATCACCTTCTCCTCCTCCTCCCCCTTTCTGACAACACCCCCACCCAGATGTGCATGCATTTATAATGTGCAAACATGCCCGCCATGTTGATGCTCTCAAGGACTTGACTGAAGTTCTAATGACTGCGAGGGGCTCGCGTGTGCACGCAAGTGCATGGGGTGAGATAAGCGAGTGGCTCAGATCTCTGGCCGTAATCAGGTTGGCCCTGAATAAACAAGATGAGAAATGGGCCTAAATGAGATGCGGCTTGCTAATGCTCATGTTTCCTACCAGATGTCTGCAGATAGACATTAATGCCGCTCTCATTAGATTATGTGAAGCTGTGGCCATCTCCTGGATTTAATCACCCTTTCCTGTGTTTGTTTGTCTTTCGCTTATAGCGAGTTGGATATCTGGATCCCACAACCCTTTCACGCTGACGTCCCCACTGATTGGTGGGATCTCGAAGCGGACAAGTCCCTCCTAATCGGCGTCTTTAAGCATGGTAAGCTCCGCCTCTTCACAGCTGACGCTCTCTGATTGGTGCTTTTGCGGTGACAGGCGACAGTTTTTGCTAATGTTGACCTATTGTAATATTGCCTAGAGATTGATTGGTGATATTTTCCAAACGGCTGATCCTGCACTCGATGGAGACTGGCTGGGAAAATGGATGGGGAAAGAGACGAGATCTAATCCATCAGAGGCAGCAGGCACCTCTCAGCACATTTTATTAACATTGACCCGCAGTGTTAAGAAGTGTTCTGGGAGAACCTGCTGAATTCCCAGTTTGGGACGTGATTGTTTTCTTTTGTGAATCTGCGCAGCTGTCCCAATTTATCTTTCGGGGAAAACAAGGCCAAAAGCTGTATTAAAAAAAAAGAGATGGAGAGGGGTTTCTCTGTTGCTGACTTTTAATTGTATTAAGTATAGTAAGAGCAGCTTTATTTAATAATGTCCGCTGCTCTCGCCACTGATATTAATCTTGGCGAGGGGCTTTTATTCTTCGCTCAGATTGGTCTTTTTCGTGAATGTGTGTACAGAGAGCGCTCTCTCTGCTCTCCCCCAGTGCGCTGTGCTACCTCGTTAACTCAGCTGGCCTCCATACATGCGCACGCACACACACAAACACACACAGGAGCGTGTATATAACACAGGCAGCCTGTTCTTAATCATAATCCCAATTCAGTAGGGAGGTCTGGGGAGGAAACCGGGAGAGAAGAGGTGGCAGGCCTGGACTGCAGAGGAAAGAGTTCATGATTACAGTTTGGCTCGGGGCGCGGCGGCAGTTAGGAACAATGTGTCACCGCATAAATCCTAATTGAAATGTGATGTTCTGGCGGGGGAGGGGGTGCTCGAGCCCCGTCTGATCAGCGGCTCAGCTGAAGTGGGTCCAGCCTGCCAATCGCCTCCCCTGTTGTGCACTGTAGGGATCCGCAGGCTCAAATCTGTTCTGCTTGGACAGTTTCAACGGGCATTTTCCTTTGGCTCTGCCTTTTGTTTCTTTAAATTTTTTTTCTTTTGGTTTGATTTAATCTTCTGGTAGTTTTTGAAAGGATTTCACTTTGTATTATAAGGTTGATTTAGTTTTTAAGGGTTTTTTTGCATATTTTTTCTTCCATTATTATATATTTTTTTTGGTACATTAATTGTTGTACATTAAAAGTTTTTAGCACCTCACGCAACTAACATTTTATTTAAACATTCGATTTTTTCTATTTCATTTTAAACTGCATTTGACACACCAGTAATACTTTTCTCTGCTTTCACATCACCAGGGGAAATAAAAGCTCCCCAGCCCACAGCCCAGCCTGTAATTATGCATATTTTATGTTCACCGCTGCTCTCTTTTCTTCCGCTAGGCTATGAGAAGTATAACTCTATGCGTGCTGACCCCACCCTGTGTTTCCTGGAGAGGGTGGGCATGCCCGATGCCAAGGCCATCGCTGCCGAGCAGAGGGGAGCGGACATGATGGCAGATGGTGTCGAGGGGTAAGTTTGGCCCAAAATCACAGCCCCAGCAAGAGGGACTCCTCCTGCTCTTTCTTTCTTTGGCTCTCTCCCTCTTTCTTTATCGCTCACCCCGCTTTCCTTTTGGTTCTTTTCTTTGTTTTCTCTCCCACACTAAAAGCTTTTCTCTTTTTCACAATAGAGAGGATGAGGACCCAGAGTACAAGCCACTCCGGATGCAGTTTAAAGACGATCTGGATGTGAGTTTGGAAATACATTAGTCTTGACTGTATCTAAAATCAGTATTGGTAATAAATTGGCTTATGTAATGTTTTCTTTGCCATGTTTGTAGGATTTTACAAACTCTCCCCTGGATGATAAAGACGATGGGATGGATGGCGAGACTGGAGAAGGTATTTATTTCCCCAGCATACAGGTGTTACCCATCATACTTCAGATTTTTACTTCACTGTGCTCACCGTTGCCGTCTGTTTGTCCACCCTCAGCGCCTAAGCCTGGTGAGAATGGGAAAGCGGGCAATCTGTACTGGCCGCCAGCCTCTGCTCTGACAGCCCGATTGCGCCGCCTCATCACGGCCTATCAGCGCACTCACAAGCGTGAGCAACTAAGGCAGGAAGCCATGACCAAACCTGACCGGCGCCGAGGCCGTCCGCGTGATGACATCCTTGCCATGGTGACAGAGGGAGGAGCTTATGCTCCAGATGGAGCGGTGGCTTTTATGGCTGAAGGAGGGCCTTTCATGGCCAAGGGATCACCTTTCATCCCTGATAGCGCCGCCCTGCTGGCTGATGGAGCGGCTTATTTTAAAGAGCGAAGGCAGAGGTGAGTTACATCTAGATCTTCCATTAAAAAAAAAAAAATCTGTATTTCTCCTTTAGTCACACATGACCTCATTTCCATTTACCAACATCTGTTTTCCAGATGGACAAGGCGTGAAGAGGCCGATTTCTACCGTGTGGTGTCCACATTCGGTGTGGTTTATGACGTGCACAGACAGTGCTTTGACTGGTCCCAGTTCCGTGCTTTTGCTCGTCTAGACAAGAAGACAGACGAAAGCCTGGAAAAATATTACTACTCTTTTGTGGCCATGTGCAAGCGGGTGTGTCGGATGCATGTCAAATCCGAAACAGGTGAACTACTGTCTTTTTGAATTATTTGAATTTATCTTGTCAATTCCTGCTTGCTTGTTGTTTTTGTTGTCTAGTCCCAACATATTTTTTTCTTCATTGTGATCACAACCTAGTCTGCTTCCGCTACCTTTGAGTAGCTCCAGTTTCCTGTCGGTTATGTCTTCATCCCTAGAAGAAAAATATTAGCAGAAGAAACATGCAAGATATATCAGAACCGTATCGATATTAGCTTGTATATCTTTTTAATACTGGACATTGTAATATTGTGAAGTCTGAATTGATTTGTAATTAGCATTTTTTTTTTTATATATATATATATATATATATATCTCACTCTTTCGTATCGAGCTGCTGCGGCGGATCAGGGAACAGGTGTTGCCGCACCCTCAGCTGGATGAGAGGATGAGTCTGTGCCAACTAAGCCCTGACCTCCCAGCCTGGTGGGAGCCCGGACGCCATGACCGAGACCTCCTGCGGGGCGCCGCAAAGCACGGTGTCAGCCGCACTGACTACCACATACTCAACGACCCCGAGCTCAGCTTCTTGGAGGCCCATCGGAAGTTAACACAGGGCAAGGGTGCGGAGGTGCCCATCATGTCTGATCCTCTTACACCTCTGAACCTGCTCAAAGACGAGGAGGTGAAGGAAGAGCAGGGAGATGACTTGGTGCCCAAAGTGGAGAATGGTGACATGGAGGAGGTCAAAGAAGAAAAACCTGAAGCCCTCTCTCCTAAAAAAGAAGAGGAAGCAAATGATTTGGGTCTGAAGCACGAGCCTAAAGAGGAAAAGATAGAAGTGGAGGAGAAAGATGATACGATGGAGGTTAAGACCAAGGTAGAGCAGGGTTGTCCTGTGGATGGTATGACTGATGAGAAGCCCATGAATCAGGAGCCCACTACCCCCGAGGACAAAAACGCTGAGGATGAGAAAGAGCCACTGACCACTGAGACTAAACTTCCTACTGACAAAACATCCAAAGAAGTTGAGGAAGAGAAGATGGATGAGGACGACAAATCAGAAAAATCTTCACAAGCTGAAGGTGAATGTTAGACATTTGGGGTTTCATTTCTGTTGACACTACATTTATGGTGTAGGCTATGCATCAGAGAAACATGCCTAAAAAAATTTTGTATGATCCAAAAACAAACAAAACCAGTTTTAGAACAAGCTCTTTCTTTATTTTAATTTCTTTTAATTGGCTGGTCAGGATGCTCAAAAAGTAATGGATTTTGATTTGGGAAATCTTATTGCAGTTAAGCTTGTATTAAAAGATGATTTTTATTTGCAGTTGGAGGAGCCTCTGAGAGGAAGAATTTTGATGAGGAGAGTAACGCCTCCTTGAGCACGGCCCGCGATGAGACCAGGGACTGCTTCAGTGTTGATGACGTTGAGCCGTCAGTCTCTCAGATGTTCAGTGAACGTTCACTGTTCTCTTTCTGGCCTAAGGTTAGTTAAACCATTTTTTCCACTTCACTCAAAATTTTCTTTCCTTTTTTTAGATTGACTATGCATTGACACATCCATTTCCCCCCTCTTCTAGCATGTAGTAATATAGTTTGCCACAAATGTGGTTTAGAGATAAATGAAGAAAAATGGAGCCAAGCCCAAAACTTTGAAGAAGACATGTGATGTAGGGGTGGGCGATATGACCAAGATCTTTTATCACGATATGAGTAATTTTATATCACGATAACAATATATATCACTGTATAGTTCTTTTTTTTTTTCTTCTTTTAATTAGGTTTTTATGATATTAAAATCTTTGATACCATAGAATTTTCATAATCCTTGTCACCAATGTTGATATCAAACTAATACAAGAAAATAATACAAAAATAAAAATCAAGCTCACTGGAGATAAATAAACAGTCAGTGATGAAATAAGGATAAGAAACGAATTACAAGCAATAGGACAAAAAACTACAATAAATAATAGGCCTGTCGCGATAATTAAATAACCGTCTAATCGTGATTATTTGATCTAACTGTTACGATTATTGTGCTTTTTATACGAGACAAGGGGGAGTCATACACCAAAAGAAACAGAAGCGCACCAGTTTGCTTTTCATGCATTGTATAGCCTATACAGGGCTCCAGACTCATTCTTCCCACTGGTCGCTCTTTTGCAACTAACTTTTTCAGCTGGTCGCACGAGCACATGATTTGGTCGCAATGTTTTTCTTTTCTTTTTTTTTGCTCTACAACATGGGATTACTCAATGCATGCTGATGAACTTTTATCATAGTTTATAGTTATATGGAAACGAAAGTGGTTAACATTCAACCTGTTCTTTATCATCGGTAGTATTATTTCTGATTTAAATTTTGTGAATGGGAGTTTCTTTCTCTTTTGCTAAGGGCTTCGGATGCTTTCACTTTCGAATTCCACCACATGCTGTATTATATACCGACTAATAAATTACAGAACGTTTTGCAAACACTGAGGAATCAAATAAATAAATAAATAAAAGAGAGCCTCCATGGCGTAATGTGAGGTAAACAGCAAAGTTTTTCAAAAATGAAAACAAAAAGAAAAGTAAAACTAACGGTGACGGTGCTTGCATATTTTTTCCCCCACAAGAATAAATACCAGCATGTTCACCTTCTCTGGTTTAAGAAGCAGTCTTTTACTTGACTTTCGCTTGAAAACCATCCATCGTTTCCTCAATATGCGTGTCATTTTTGCTGCGCGCAGCTTTGCGCTCGTGCTGACACGGCGAGTATACTCTCTAAGCGCTGTTTCGTTATGCTTTCAGTTTCGTTTGCCGTTTGATGTTTCTCATATGCAACAGAAATTGCAGTGCTTATGAGTTCACCAACACGGTGGTCGCGCCAGTGCGACCGCACAAAATTTTGTCGCACAGGCAGAAAAAATGGTCGCAGTCTGAAGCCCAGCTATATTTAATGTGCACCAAAGATTTTTTTTCAAGATATTGTTTTTGAAGTGAGTATTTAGTGGATTGCGTTTAACAAAGGGTTTAAAAGAGTGACCATTAGTTCCACAAACACAGTATT